GGTCTGGTGAACAGTGTTCTGGGCAGAGGGAACAGCAAGTGCACAGGCCCAAGGCAGCGTCCATAGCACACTTGGGAATGAATGGGTGGCAGGGGCATGGCAGGTACTGAGCAGGAAAGCTGGACTGCAACACATGGACTCTGCAGGCTTCACAAGGACATTGTGCTTACTCTGAGTCAGAGGCTAAGTTCCTGACCACAGAGGACATCACTGAAACAGAAGGTGGCAGAACCCTTACCCCTGGCTCTGCCTGAGTCTAACTAACTCTTCCCTCCTGTCTTCCAGGCCATGTACATGTTCTACGCCCTGGCCATTGTGTGTGATGACTTCTTTGTTCCCTCCTTGGAAAAGATCTGTGAGGTAAGCTCCTCACATTCTGTGCTCTTGTAGGTTCAGCTGCTTCTACAAGGTCTTGGGGTGTCTTAGCCACCAGGCATCTGCACACTGAGAGAGAAAGATGATCTCAGCTCCAAAGCTGCCTCTGTCCACTTAGAGTTTTATGATGCCAGTGGATGGCTGGACGTAGACCTGCAGGCCAGCCTTCCCCACTATATCCAGCCATAAGTGATGCTGCTCCATGGGCCCTTGGGCACTTGGTTCCAGGACCCTTTATGGGGTACCATAGTCCATGGACATCTAAGTCCCATGTATAAGATGGTGTAGTACCTGCAAACAACCTACACATATCCTCCTGTGCACTTTAAATCACCTCCAGGTTACTTATACCAATAGAGTGGAAATGCTACATAGATAGTTCTATTTTCCTTTTGTGGTGCTGAGGATTAGAACCCAGGGCCTTGTACATACTAAGTGAAATGCTTAAACACTGAGCTACATCCCCGGCCCTGTACTGTGTTGTCTAAGGACTAATGACAAAATAAAAATCTATACATGTTCAGTACATATGCAGTTATTTTTCAAATATTTTCCATTCACCTTTGGTGGAACATGCAGGTTCAGCACTCTCAGAGATAGAGGCCCCACTGTACTTGTGTTCTGCTTCCCTGCTTTCTTTTCCTCCTTGTCCTGCCCTTCCTTTCTTATGTCTTCCACCTTCTTCCTCTGTTTCCTTCTGCCCCCACAACCCTCCTTCAGTGACCCGTGGGATGCTAGGGTGAGACCCTCGTTTACCCACACCTCCCAGCCAGCTTCCTCTGTATCACAGAAATGTCCCATGGGAAAGCCCAGAAGACACTGAGATGAGAAACTTGAGCACAGAGGTGAGGAGAGTGTCTGCTTCTCTGTGACATATCATTCCAGCGAATGCAGGGCTGAACAGCACTTCAGTCCCTTTCATCGAAAAATATTCAGCCTATGCAGAGCTCTCTCATTCTCCTGCCTCTTTCATCTCTTTGTAGGTTCTGAAATGTGCTTTCCTTTATGTACAAGCTTTGCATTTGATTTATGTATTTATAATTCAGAATCTTAGTGTTCAGAAGAGTTTTCCCAGACACATTTTCCCACCTGAACCCCAATGTCTTATGCCAGTGATCTTCAAACCTCAAGGCCCTCCTCTCTCCCCCTCCAATTTTGCAGATCTGGGGTGACCACAGAGAAGGGCCAGGGTTTGTGATTCCTCTAAGTTCCTAGGTGATGCTGAGGCTGCTGGTCTGGAAGCCACAGTTAACTTATTGACTTACGCAGCTCTTCCTGCACCCTGGAAGGTGTTGGTTTTCTATGCATATAAATAAATAATCATTGCATGATAACCCCAAAGAGTTCATGGGAGTGAGACCCTCTGTGTGGTGACTGTAGGATAGGGAATGTGAGGTGGTGTCTGAGATACACTATCTACAGGTGTGGAAGCCCCTGTCACAGTGATTCAGCCTAGGATCAGGGTCATCATGTGTCACGGGGGAGGAAGTGTTCAGCACCTGTAATTGGGGTCTGTTGTGACTCTGAAATGCAGGTGTCCCTGAGTGTCCATGAACCATTAGTTCCAGGGCCCTTGTTGATGCCAAAACGTTCAAGTACTCAAGTCCCTTATATAAAATGACCATAGTAATTGCTTGAGAACAACTGTTGAGTAATGCAGATTCCTTTTCCAAATCACCTTTCATAGCTGGAGGTAGAGGCTCATTAGTCTAAAGCAATTACCATGGACATGACTGTGGTAATTGGACATGACTTGCACATACCCTCCTGTGCACACTGAATCTCTCTAGGTGACCTATAATACTGAATACAGTGTGGTGGGTATGTCCTGCTATATTGTTATTGTTCAAAATAACCAGAAAGAATCTGAACATGTTAAGTGTAGACTCAAATTTTTTCTGAATATTTTCCATCTGAAGTTGGTTGAATTCCCCCTTTCCTTTGTGTGAAATGGCAGTCCCTAGGTTTGCACAGCCAGGTCACATTGCAGAACATGTGAAGGTGTCCAGAGAAATCCTGTGAGGTAAACAGATGGATTCGGCTGCCCTGAAGCAAAGGAGGGAGAGGGGCACTTTCGGGACAGCAGCATGGGCACCAATCAGGAAGAAGAAGCGCTTGAAACTCCTAAGGATGGGAGGTAGCAGCTTCAGGCTGGGCAGAGGCTTATGAAGGAAAGATGAAGTTGGATAGAGAGGGAAGGAAGCTTCAGGGAGGTTTCCAGGGCAACAGCATGATTTTCCAAGCAGTGAAAGATGACAATGGACATAGGACGTGGCCCATCCCATTTACAGAAAGCACTGAGCCGCACTCCACCTGGGCCATGTGCTACACAAGTGCTGGGGAGTGAGACAGAGTACAGCATGGTCCTTGCCCCCACCCCACCAAGGTTGTAGCCCACAGAGCAGCTGGAGAAGGATGCAGTCAGCCCGAACATCCACGTGCTCTGCACCCACGCCTGCAATCACAGATGGAAAATGTTCTTTAAAAGTACACTGTTCTGTGTATGTATGGACTTTGTCTAGTCATAATTCCCTAAACAATACAGGAATAGTTATTCACATAGCATTTACACTGGGTTAGGAATTGTAGGAAATCCAGAGACGATGTACAGTATACAAGAGGATATGTGTAGGTTACATGCAGATACTACACCATGTTATGGTAGTAATTTGGGCACATGCAGATTAGGGCATCCATAGGATTCCTGGAACCAGCCCCCTCCATACTGAAGGCTGACTGCACATGGTGGGAGAATGAAATGGTGGGAACTGCAAAGTGCAGAGTGAGATGGAGTCTGCCTCCCGGGGGCCCGGTGTGGGCTGGAAGAGCAGTGCTTGGACTGAAGGTCATGCTGGCAAAGCATCTGAAGAAAGGGTATTTGGTCAGAGAATCTGAGCCCCGAATCAAGAAGAGGAGATCAGGGGCAAGCATCCCCCTTGGGGAGCCCTGGATGTCAGGAACTATTCCCTGCTTAGGAGGGAGCTGGGAAGACTTGCCATGATTGTGTCATGGTGGTTAGAAGTCTCAAGACAAGAAGACCCCCTACCCGGTGATTCTGAGTGCAGTAAGCTGTTGCTGGGGCTGGAACCATTAGGACCGGGAGCGGGGAATGGATGGAGATCTGGAGCAAGAAGAAATCAGTTGGATGGAGAGGGAAACAGGGCCCTTCTGCAGGTCTCCTGACCCAGTGAGACTGGATGCCCAGTATCCCTCACAGCCGCATCTTTCAGAATGGACCCCATGTTGGGGTCTCCTGAGCTCCTCCTGGGAAATTCTGCTGTCCAGGCCACAGCCAAGGGACTCAGGATTCCATATCAAATCACTCGTTTGGGTTCCTGCCACCATCTGTCAGCAGTGCCAGCTGCTCCCACTGTGGCTGAGCCCTGACTGTACCTGAGCAGCTGGAAAGAGGAACCGTGTCCACCAGACTGGCAGTGTCTTCTCTGGGCCTGCAAGAGGGAATTGGCTACTTCCCAGGCCGTAATGGAGGACAGAGAAACTGCCCAGCCCCCAGTGTGTATTCACCTTGTCTTTTTGCAAATCCCCTATTGGTGTAACAACCACAGTGACCTGGAGGGTCCCCTGTGTGACCTCTCTCACCCTTTCCTACTCCATCCCAGGTCCCCAGGCCACTCTGCCACCCAGTGTGTGAAGATCCAGGACAGGGCTGGGGAACTCAGTAGGGTGACCTCAGAGACACCCCAAAGCCTCCACTGGTCACCATGAGGCCTCACTCAGCCCAGGCTCATTGAATTATTCCAAATAATTCAGGATACTCTGCAGGCAGATCTGGATTGTTGGCACCTCCTTTGAAATCAGAGCACAGGCAGCAGGAAGGCAGGAAGGAGGCCCCACTAGGGCCTTGAGCCCACTGTCTATGTGGTCTCATACCACTGCTCCTTGCCTCCCTGTCATCCAGTGGCCCTGGGGGTATTGGAGTTGGGGACCTTGAAGTGTTTTGGGGACCTCTAACTGGTGAGGGCCTGAGGTTCCCTGGAGAAGCACTGAGCTCTATAACATGGAGCCCAGGCCCCCTACTCCCCTTCTCAGGGCGGGGTCATGGTCAGCTCTGTCTCCAGGTGAATCCTCCTCACCTGTGTCTGTCTTTGCTCCTCTGCAGCGTCTGCACCTCAGTGAAGATGTGGCAGGAGCCACATTCATGGCGGCAGGCAGCTCAGCCCCGGAGCTGTTCACATCGGTCATAGGTAGGTGATGAGCTGGGGACCGCTCAACCTCTCCCTGTCTGAGAGAAAAGAGCTCTGAGGACAGATTGTCCCCTGACCAGGACTGTCTGCTTCTATAGGAAATGAGAGTCAAGGGTCCCTACAGGACATCAGCCTCTCCCAGGGCCACTGTTTTATTATAGGGGTGGTTTACCATGCATGAAGGACCCCTGTAGACCTGGGAACAGTGGCACACATGAAGCATCCCCTGGGCCCCCAGGAGACAGAGCAGCCACCACAGTAGGCTGACATTGCATCTATGTTCCAGGTGTCTTCATCACCAAGGGCGACGTGGGCGTGGGCACCATCGTGGGCTCCGCTGTGTTCAATATCCTGTGCATCATTGGTGTCTGTGGGCTCTTTGCAGGGCAGGTAAGACCACTAGCTCCTCCTGGTCTGAGGCAGAGGGTCGTCCTGCTGGAGCACAACTCCCATCAGGGCCCAGCAGTTGGGATCTCACCCCTAGGAGGCTGGACCAGCTTTAACTAGAAACCATCCAGCCACCATATCTGTTCTCCAGGTTGGTGGAATGGAGAATTCCCAGGTCCACATAAATAATTAACCAACCAGAAAGTTATGGGTTACAGATTTGAAAGTGTCAGGCTCATTTTGTGTGATACTGATCCGCACTAGAATGACCTAAAACAATTTTAGAATGGTTTTGCCACAGAGGAAATAAAATAAATGAGAGAGAAAGACAGGAAAAGAGACAGACATTTTTGCTAAAAGCCATTTGCAGCCATCAGTTTAGGATGCGAACTTTCATCCCACAGGGATGGAAGATTTTATTTCTGTGTTTGCTTGAGCTTGCTGGGGAAGTTGGGGGGTGGGCGTTGCAGGCCTGCAGTTTTCCTAAGGAGACTGTTCCACTGCCGGGGGTGTTCTGGGGTCTAAATCCTTAATGATTTCGGGTGTCTGTTTGGGGAAGTTGTGGGGATTTACCCAAAATCACCAAGGTGTGAGGCTGAGCCAGGGGCACAAGGTGTTACAGCAGCTGTGAAGAGGGTGTGAGTTTGCAGTTGTCTGGAGTGCTAGTTTTCTCAGAGGGATTTACTCAGAACAGTGCAGTCCTGAGTCTCTGTCCAAACACCCAAGACTCAGTGTCCTCTAGAAAAGGCAATTCCTAGAAGTTGGCGGAGGTGACTCTACCTGTGATAGTGAGGAGCCTGGCGAGCCTAACACTTGGTCAGCAGCCTCCATGTGGTGGGTGCAGCATCCTGCTGGTTATTGCTGTTCAAGGCAAAGGGCTAGACATGCTCCTGTGTGGCCATGGCTCCTCCACTGCCAGCACCCCATCTCTCTGAGGTGGGCCCCAGGGTCTTCACACAGAGTGTGCTCTGGAACACAGCTCTTGCCCACAGCCACCAGCTCCATGCCCACTGGTTGGTCTGGGCAGCCTGGTGTGTGAGCTGCTTCCAGGCAACAGGTGGAGGGACACGTTGATCTGGTCAGGAATCCACTTCAGGTCCCCAGGTGGACTGGGTCCTTCTGGTGAGAGGGTCCTGGGAAGATGTTTCTGTTCATGATGATGAAGCTCTGCCCGACTCTCTAGGCTGAACATTTTCTATTTTCCAATCCTTTTTGTTCAGTGATCTGTTGTCTAGATTTGTGGGCTCACATTCTTCTGTGAGAATATCAGGATAATTAAATTAAATTTTAAAATTTATTATAGGAAAAGGCACATGACCATTAACTTCCTTCCGCGGAATACTCTCCCTCACTATGCACAAACTTATCCCATGGTTCTTGCCATTTTCAGCAGCAGTTCTGGAAGTTCTCTTTTCTGAGTGTCTACAAAATGTGATCAAAAATACAGTGAATGCTGCTGCCAAATGCCGTTCAACAAAAAGGCAGGCTCATAACAACACGATGCTGCGTCCTCATTCACCTTATTCATTGGATCTGGAGCTGTGCAATTTCTGCCTCCTCTCCAAAGTAAAAATGACCGTGAAAAGTAAACACTTTAAATGGATTCAGGATGTAGTGACAACTATGACAGTGTAACTAAAGATACTCATAAAAGAAGACTTCCATAAGTGCTCCAAAGTGACAAGAACCATGGGATAAGCCAGGCATGGTGGTGCATGCCTGTAATCTAAGCACTCAGGAGGCTGAGGCAGAAGAATTGCCCCAGTTCAAGGCCAGCTTGGACTACCTAGTGAATTCAGGGCCAGCCTGAACAATAAAGTGAGACCCTGTCTCAAAAAGAAAAGAAAAGAACAATGGCATAAGTGTGTTCATAGTGAAGGGGAGGATTTTGAGGGGGATTCGTGGCAATGTGTCTGTTCCCGTGATTTTTTTAAAAGTAAATATTCACCATATTTTTCGATCACACTCCATATGTGGTTAGCACTAAAAACCTGACTCTGCCTTTGCTTTCAGCACTGTTTGTAGGCTCTTGGCTCCCCTCTGCCTGCCTCTCCTCACCACTTTTCTGAGATGAATGTCACACCTGGGCTGTTGCTCTTAGCACTCTCTTAATTAGCATTGTCACCATTACCAGTATGATTATTAGGCTGGCCATTATTAATGTTGTTGTTAGTTCATTAGTCATTGGCACCTGAAGCTTGATTCAACAGCAAGCCCAAAAGGGGCGAGATAATACAAAGAAAGGAAACCAATGGTTGGGCAGTGTCTTATCAGCGTCACAGGAGGAATTTCTGAGGAAGCAGCCTGAGTTGGCATGTGATTTGGAATCAGCAGCAGTGCAGTCATCACTGCCTGATAAGAACACCACCCACATCAGGGCATACAGCTGCTGGACTTGAACTTTAGCAAAGACTGCTTTCTGTCACTTGACCTCTCCAGAAGAGCTCTGCTGGCTTATCTCAAGACCTGAAGGACTATAGAAAGAAGTGGTCTTGAGGGTGCTATGAGAAGCAGCCTCAGGATTCTGGTGCCTGGTCTTTCTTATGACTTTCCTGATCCCATGCCTGCCTGCTTGGAGATTTCTGAGGCCTTCTGCTTCTACTTTTCAGGGTTTTGTAGTATCCTTAAAGTCTTTGCAGAGGAAGCAAAATGATGTGTTGGAAGGAACATGGGCTGGGGAATCAGACTGGCCTGGGGTGGAATCCTGCCTCTGCCCTTTGCCAGCAGAGGGACTTGGAAGAAGCTACTTCAGCTCTCAGCCTGGGTTTCTCCTCTGTAGGATCAGGTCGGTGCCCCATTTCCCTAGCATTGCCATAGGGTTGAGACCTAGCGTGGTGGGGGCATAAGCTGCATGTGGCCCATGGTGGGCCAGTACAAATCAGATCCTGCATCAACTCTCAGGATGCCGGTCCCTGGGGTTCTCACCACCAAATTCTACCCTAGCTCCCTGTGGTACTCTGACCACCATTGGTGAGAGTATCTGACACACAGGGGTGTCCCCGGTTCCCACAAGACACAGGGTAGGACAGACAGGAAAGATGAGGAAGAAGCCCTCCTAAATGGAAATCAAAATGAGGTGTTTAGAGGACTAGCCCAGTGGACTGGTCCCTGTTTCTGTGCTGTCTGATCCGTGTATAGAAAAGAAAAATCAAAGAAATGAAAGCTGGCCTTGCATGTTGAAAAGCCCTCCCTGATGGGGCTGGGATGTGGAATGTTACAGCAAGGATGAAAATTGGGAATCGAAGTGATAAATAAATCCAGTCATGGGTCTCACTCAGCATTATTATTTATGTTGATCTGCACTTTCATTTGGCTGGGAGAATTCCAGGGAAGCACCCGGGGGGGGGGGTGCTCTCTCTACTGCATTTCGACATAAAGGGCAGTGCAGGACAAAGTCTGGCGCCCATCTGAAATTAAAGTAATTAAGCTACAAGGTTTGAGCTCCTGTCTCAATTAGGGTTTTGATGAATTCAGTGTAATTAAATGTCTGCTGTATTTGCAGTTTGCAAACATACCCAGTACTTCAGCGTTTGCCTAGGGTGCTTTGGGGAATTTTATGGGACAAAAAGGAAATTGCTTCTTAGAAGGTGGCTTAGAGTGGTTCTTGGCAACCTGGCAAGACATACAGGGCTGTGGTCCTACCAGTTTTCTTTATTTAAGAACAAATAATAAAAGCAACACAGAGAAAAACGCCAAGCTCTCCATGAAACCTACTCATGTAGTCTGCATATTTCGCTGAAATGACTTCATGCCAATTTCATAAAACAATGTGCTTATAAATTTAAATCGACCATTCTGAGCATGCTAAGCTTTAAATACATAACCACAAACAGAGAGTAAACAGTTTAACTGCATCCCAGATTAGGCCTTTCCTATTCCAGTTATTACAGGCGGGCAGATGGCTCCAGTTTATTATCGAGCATTCACACAGCAGCCCTGGCTGCCTCCTCACATGCCTGATGTTCTTTGGCAAGGGCTGGCTCATCTCAGCTGAGTTTGCCAGGAGCATTCTGTCTGCGCTGCAGCAGCACCCAGGGGCTGCACATCTGAGCTGGAACTTGCCTTCCTTTGGGTTTTCCCACAAGGAGACTCTCAGCAAGGGCTCAAGTACAAGTTGTTAACTGAAAGGAGGTCCCAGGAAATGCCCTGAGCATGGAGGAAGTGCGGTAGGGAAGAGAAGGCAGCTAAGACAAGTGTGTCAACAAATAAAGTATCACAACTGGGACTTAATTCATCTGTGGTACCTGGGCGATGCTGTGGCTCATGGGTGTGTATGTGATCTCACATACAGGCTGGGGAGCCACTGACTTCCATCACCCATTGATTAAGGACTCCTCTTAAGGAATGTGATTTCCCCAGCATTCTAACTTGCTGGAAACAGGCAGGGTAGACTTTAGGGCCCAGAGAAAACCTCTGGCAGAGTGAGATAGGGATAGGCCATTGAAAGGCCCTGAAATGGTAAAGGTGAGGAATTAGGAGTGGACCCATAAAGTATTCACTACAAACTCAAGAGCAAGTCTTTAAAATTAGTCACCCATTGGGTCTCATGTTCAACCCCAATGGAGGAGCCATAAACATTAATACGAGGCAAACAAGAGTCTGGTGCCAGAACATCTTGGATTTAGAGAATTACCTCTGGTGTTAAAAATAACAGCTACCAGCCAGGGATATAGCTCAGTGGTTCCACTGCCTGCCTTGCAAGCGCAAGGTCCAGAGTTTGATCCCTGGTACCAAAAACAAACAAACAAACAAACAAAAATAACAGCTACCAGCCAGGGATATAGCTCAGTGGTTCCACTGCCTGCCTTGCAAGCGCAAGGTCCAGAGTTTGATCCCTGGTACCAAAAACAAACAAACAAACAAACAAAAATAACAGCTACCAGCCGGGTGTAGTTGCACATGCCTGTAATCCAAGCACTTGGAAGGCAGGAGGATCACCCTGAGTTCGAAGCCAATCTGGGCTACACAGTGAGTTCAAGGCCAGCCTGAACTGCATAATGAGACCATGTCTCAACAAACAAACAAAAAATCCAGGTACTGTTTAGTAAGCTTCTCCCATGTGAGACACCACAGTTGATACTCTATAAATATTTGTAGAAATACACCTGCTGAGTTTTAAGGGAGTATTATCCTTACTAACAAGCAAGGAGATGGATTCTGGGGGCCAGAGGTGGATGGAGGTCTATGGAGATGGAAGGCTAGAGTTGAGATGAATGCTTTCCAAATGGGGAACCTATGACTTAACAAGTCCCCAGATGTAAGTATTGCATTCTTATGATTAGCCTGAGACTTTATTGTTCTTTAGAAGTTTGGAGTATGGGATCTGGAACAGACATGTCAGCAAGATGGTAGTGACCCAAGATCCATGAGATGCGAACACTTAGCCCAGCCATGGAGCATCTGGGACCTTCTTTTCTCATCAGATGGCATCTCCCACTGCGGGCTTTGGCTGCTGCCAAACAGATGGAAGAGTTGAGCAGAGCAGGGAACCACATACTACTCAACGTTGCCTTGAACACCTCAACTCCTGGCCTGCTGCTTCCCAGAGTAAACCCAGCACATCACCTAGGGCATCCCAATCCTGGAAGTCACTCAGATTCCAAGAAGGCTGGAGACTGAAGAAGGCAAGGCTGAAAACCACAGCACAACAGGGACCAATCCTAAAAGTCTGGGTTGCAGGCCCACCCTCCTCTGTATAGGCAAGGTGGGTGTGCAGGAGAATGAGTGCCCAGCAAAAGACTCAGGACCAGGTGCGAGACAGGCCTCCTCCAGAATGCAGGATGCTCTGACCCATGGCCCTGAGTGAGTGAAAGCGGGTATGTGGTACAGGGTCAGGTCTGCCTGGCACTGCACCATGAATAGTCCTCTCTCCATGCCGAGCCCTCCAGCTGGCCGTCGAAGCAATCTCCTTGCTGTCCCTTTGCTCTTCCCACCCCTCCCCCAAGGTCATGTTCCATCAGGGCCCCAAACCTGGTCTTCCCCACAGACACTGCTATTCCCAGGCCTGGAGTTCCATTTAGGTCACCACCTGGCTCTGCCCTGCTCCATTTAGATCACCTCTGCATCTTTATCCAAGATCTCTGATAGCTTTGACATTGGCTCACAGAATTTGTTCCTGGCTCGTTCTGCCTCTTTGAACTATCTCTTGAAATTAGATCCAATCTCAGATTCACATCTAGATTAGTTCAGTTTCAGGTAACAAAACACCCCAGCTCTAACTGGCTTCTCATATGTAGCAGATTTTTTGATGTCATTGAAAAATACAGAGCAACGTGAACATCAGCTCTGATTTGATCAGGGCTTTGGCACCATTGTTATTGTCTTGTCGCCTCTGTCCTCCTCAGGCTAGTTTTCTTTTGCAGCAGAACATGGCTGTGGCTGTTTTAGGCCTCATGAATACGTAATGAATACATACCATGCTGGTCAACAAAGAGGAAGAGAACATCTCCTCGCCCACAGCACTTGCCAACTTCCACTTAGCGTCAGCAAATAAAAATGAGCATGGGCCAACTGAGGCCCTCTGACCAAGATTTCTGGTGAAGGAACTAGTTACCCAAGTCCTTAGGTTAATCGGGAATAACCCACCCATTTCTTTCTTCTCCCAGTGATAAGACTTTGATCAGTTCTACCCTGAATGCATGGCTTTTTGTCCCTTATTCTTACTGGAAGCAAAGATAAATGAAAGGGTGAAGCCATTGCGGTATCAGGTTCCTTGATGGCTGCATTCCCTTGGGCCAGTGTCACACAGGTAGTAAAATGCATGCAGATCTCCTGTAGGTCTCTGTGTGAACATAAGCTCTCTCTTCTTTTTCTTTTTTATTTCCTTTTCTTCTCCCGTCCCCTTTTATTTAGAAAATAAACTAGCAGTGAGCTTACTGGGTTGTGTGTCAGGCATGTTTGTAAGAAATGCCAAACCTCTTTTCAAAGTGGCTGAGCCCTTTTCCATCCCACCACAGTCTGTGAGATTCCCATTGTAGACACCCTCACCAGCGAGCACTTGGTGTGGTCAGTTTTACTTTGCTCTGTTTTGCTTTAGTTTTAGCCACTGTAGTGAGCATGAGTCGCACCTTGTCATACTTTTACTATGCTTTTCCTTGACGTGCCATGATGGCGTACATCCTTTCACCTGCCTGTTTGCCATCTTGTTAGGTAAAATGTCTGTTCTGGTCTTTGCCTGTGTGTTAACAGGGCTTCTGCCCTCTTCTTCTCCATTGTCCAGTCTCTAAATCATCACCCTCAACCACTCCTCTGAGTCCTTCTGTCCAATTTGCTTTTATTTTCAAATCAATAGGAAGTAGAGCCATTAGAAATGACTGAGAGTGGTCTTGGTCATGTTTTATTAGTGCTGTTTCTCACATTTGGGTTTGGAGAGAGGTCTCAGCCATAGCACTCCAGTCGTGGAAAGAAAATGAAGAAGTCACTTACCTTGTATCTGGCAAACTCGAGAATGACAGTCACTGAGACCTGAGATGCTTCTTCCTAGAAAAAGGAGACTCTGGCAGCTGGAATGGGAATTGCTTCTGTGCTGTCAAGCCTTGTGTTGCTTCTGGAAAAAGAGTTTCCAGTCACTGCCTATATCCTTAGCACCAACTATCAAAGCACAGTGACCCTAGCCCCACAACCACTGCAGCTGAAGGTCCCCCACAGAGGAGAGAGCCTGTCTTTTAGGAACAATGTCTTTTCCCTCCGGAACACAATGGTCCTGGTGGTGTCTTCTCTCACAGGCAAGCAGGGCTCTTGTGGAAACTCACCATGTTCCCTCAGCCCTCAGTGAGCCCAAGCCAGGCCACCCCTTGGTGACACACAGGGAGTGGTCCAGCCTGTGTACACCCAGGCACCTCACCTCACAGGAGGAGCTGCTGAGTCTAGAGCTGAGGAAGGAACTCAGTGAGGACAAAAGCCAGGGTGGCTGACAGATGCCAGTTTTATTTATGTTTCTCCTTAACCAACACATCTGTGGCACTCATCTTGTGCCCAGCACTGTTCTCACAGCTTTACATACACTACTCAGTCTTGATCCTCAGGTAACTCTCTAGGGAGGAAACTGCAAAAGAGGAAACTGAAGCTCATGGAGATTCGTTGATGTGTCGGTCACAGATGTAGTGAGGCAGAAGACAGCACAGACCTGTGAGTTCTGTCACAAGCCTATCTCCAGGAGCCAATGTAGGTCACATGGCTCATGCATCACTCCTCCCTCTACATCACCATTGTCCCCACTGTCCCTTCGCTGCTAGACACCTCCTCACCACCATAAAGCCCAGGCTTGGAACATCCTTGCTGAGCTCTGTGGAAATCTCAAGGTGGACCCAGGCACCCCTTTGTGCCCAGCACTGGGCACAAAGACTCCAACCTTCAGGCACAGGCAGAACCTATGTACCAACGAGGGGAGGTAAGGAATTCCAGCCATGGCCTTTTAGCTCCACCCCAGAGTCAGTGGAAATGTTCCCATGATGAAGGGAATGGAAAGTCGATCAGGTCATGAACATGTGTGTACAGCAAGAAGGAGCACTCCCTGGTCTTATCTCCTGCCCACCCGCCATGTTGTCATCTACATGGCCACTCCAGGATCTCCATTCTGTGGGTCCAAGCAGCTGCAGTCCAGGTGTCCACAGCACAACCTGGATCCAGCGCCTGAGCCTGAGTTCCCCACACTGTCTTTGCACAATGTCGGTGAAAGGTGGTTTCTCTCTTTGTTGGCTGTGGATTTAAATTCAGGGTAATACTCCATTGTATTCTGGGGGAAAATGTTTGTTAAGGTCCTTCTTTGTGCAGTAAGTCCAATCCTTAATTCAACAAATGTGAGTGCCTACTACGCACCAAGCACTGCTGTAGACACTAGCAGGACTCCAGTGAAAAAATTACATTCTAGAATTTGGATCCAGGATGTTAAATGTTCAATAAGTATGACTGATTGTTGTATACACAGGTTGGTAGGTAGGAGGATGGATGGATGGATGGATACTGAGATAACAACATGGAGGTATAGTAAGATAAAGAGAAGGTATATTGTGTCAGCTGGACATAAATGCTGTGAAAAATAAAAAAAGCATATTGAATGCACCCTTAATGTGAGAGAGAAGATAATAAAAGAGTAGTATCAGTCATTGCTGTTCAGTTGGCCTGTGATAAGAGACAGACTGACTGATATGCTGCCCTTGGCACAGGGCAGGGGAGAATGGATATCTACTCAGAGAGACCTCACAGTGCCTGAAGCCTGGCGCACATATGCTCAGAAGCTATTAATTGGTGCCTAGGTAGTTAGATGAATGCAAGGAGGAATGTCACAACCTGCCATTAGGTACACTGAAAAAGTCCTAGAAGGAAATGCATTGGGCAGTGGGATGGGAATGACTGTCAAGGAAGGTAAAGAAGAGGATTTAGCTCATGGACCAATAGCTGGTCTTCACTGGCACCAGAAGATGGACCCAGTCTCCCAACAAAGAGGCCATTTACCTCATACGTGGCAGAGAGGGTACATTCCTTCTCTGTCCTGAATATGCATGAGCTGCCACTCCTTGGGAGATGAGAATGAAAACCAGCCTCATGTGCTTCATTTGTTTGAGCCTTTTTTCTACAAAATGAAATTGTGGCAGCAGTCAGGGCATGGAAAATAGAATGAGCACATTTGATGCAGTCGCCAGCAGCTGGGAGACCAGGGCTAGGTGCAGCTGGTAGAGTGTCAGACCCCTGGCTCCATCATTTCCAGGTTTTGGTCATTATGCACCAAGCCTTATTTTTCCACTCTCTTTCTCTGTCTTGGATTAATGCAACATGAAGCTTCTAGAAGCATGTGTGCCCTGGCCCATAGCATCTTTTTCTTTCCTTTATAAAAATCAATATACAGCTTTCTTTCTTCTGCTTCCAATTATTATTTATTTTTATTTTAAATTAAAAATGGTTTTTCTATTAACAGCTAATCTTTACTGGGGTCTCACTCAGTTAATATAACATTGTATGTATTAACTTCTTTAATCCTCATATCAACTCCATGGTATAGTTACAATTTTTCTCATTTCACAGATGGAAAAAGCAAGCCAGAGAAGGAGGGAGAGAAACTTGCCCCAGATCACACAGCCAGGAGTAGCAAAGCTGGGATTCAGAGCCAGGCGGGGTGGTCTAGAATGTGGGTTCTTCTCCGAGGCCACATACAAGCCAGGGGAGCAGTGGGCACAGGGGCCCCTGGGGGAAAGTGTAGAGCACATCTCATGGAGCCGGGAAGGGGTTCCCCAAATTGTCATGCAATTCTCCCTGGCCTGGAAGACGACATGCATGGGCTGTCCTTGCCTTTTTATTTTGGAAACTCTGGTAGAAAATGCTGAGCTTGGGTACCAGGTGGCATCGCTGAGTGGAGACCATGACTCAGTCTCCTTTCAGAAACTGAGACTCCATCCCAAGCCATGTGCCTAGATGACGATGACGGGCTGTAGGGGGAATTGGAGTGTAGTGTCCGGGTAAGGGATTTTGAGGCTCCTTCTGATACTTGATACTGCTGCACCGTGATGCTGTGATGTTTTACACACAGGATAGGGGTACTACACCTTCCTGCTGTCCTGGGTAAATAAGGGCTGTCCAGAAGTGATATCCTCAGTCCCTGCTGCCCATGGCTTCTGTCCTTCCTCTTGGGAGCATGGATGCTGCTTCAGGGACAAGGAGGAGAGATGGAGGGCAGTAGCCAGGCCATGGTTAGGTGACCCAGCAGTCAAGGCTCAGACCAGTCCCCGGGGAGAAGTTTGGTTTCCTTCTTAGAAGCACATTTATGGCTTGGCTCATGCTGCCTGGAGGGGGGAACAGGGACCCCTGAAGGGTTAGCTCAGCCTCAGTGCCTTGGGAAAAGCCGTTCACCATGTCAATGTGGGAGATATATGGCTTTCATGCCAGCAGGCCCAATGCCCTGGTCTGCTCAGCCTCATGCTACCCTGGGCTCTGGTTCCAGATCCTCCCAGCCCAGCCTAGATGAGACCCCAGTGCGCCCCCCAGACTTGGATAAACCCGTTTCTTGGGGTTCTCACCTTCATAGCAAGGCCCCAGAGGGCCTCGAAGCCCATGTCCAATGCCACTAAAGAAGAGTCGGCTCTACAGTGGCATGTCCCAAAGACAAGCCAAAATACAGGTTCTTAACTTCTTTGATGATGAGTTAAAAGAATCTTGAGCATCTGTCATCCCTCATAAATAAAAATGGATTTTAATGAAATGTGACTCTACAAGTGTTAGTAGAAGCAAATATTTAAGATGTATGGCTCCAATTCTAGCCCTAGGCAGACAGATTATAAATATTAGTCATCTTATATTAAAATGTCCAAGCTCTGGGCCAAGTCTGTTACATGGTTCTGTAGTTTGAGTGCCCATGTTGACATCCTGACCTCTTTACATCTTGACCGTATGAACTGTGGAAGTTCCATAATCTCACTGTGCCTCAGTTTCCTCATCTGTTAAGAATAGTAGTACTTTCTACCTAATAGGGTTGTCCTGATGCTCACATGTGTCTATATATTCACAAAAAAAGCTGAGCAGATTGTCACCAAAAGGGAAATGTCCATAACTCTAGCTAAGTGGGCATTTCATTTTCTCATCCCGAAGAGAGGGGTGCTATCCTTGTCCCAGCCTGAAGGCTGAGAAAGTGAAGTTTAAAACAGAAGGATGGGGTTGGGGATTTAGCTCAGTGGTTTCACCACCTGTTGCGCAAGCCCAAGGACCCGAGTTCGATCCTTGGTACCAAAAAAAAAGAAATACAATGAAAACAGAAAGGTGAAGCTGGGCATGGTGATGCACATCTGGAATCTGAGCACTCTGGAAGGCTGAGGCAGGAGGACCACAAGTTGGAGCCCAGCCTGGGCAACATAGTGACTTAGAGAGATCCTGTCTTAAAATAAAAACTAAAAAAGGGCTGAGGATGGAGCTCAGTGCAAAGGCCCTGGATTTCATCCCCTGAATTGGGGGTATGGGGGCGGGAGTCAGTCTATCCAGGGTCTTGAAGTGAATAACAGCAAGGCTGAGATCCACACTTAAGTGCACCCAAGCCCTACTCCACCCCTATGCAGAGGACACTGGGTAATGACCATCCTCCCCAAGGCTCCTGGGTTCATGGAGATGGGCTCCTGCCTGGGCCTCTCCAGTATCCCACTTTTCTCACACCCCACATCCTACCTCATCAGGATACTGCTCTCTGCTACACAGCTCCTGCCCTCAACCCACAGCACCCACCCAGACCTGGCTCAGCCTCCACCCCTGTGACAGCTCCCCTGGGGGATGCAGACCCTCTGTTCCCAGCCCTTGCCTAGAGGCCTAGGGTCTGTTCTCAGCCTCTGAGGGTTCCCTCCCAGATATCCCTGGTGCCTTTGGTCCCCCATCTGCTGCTCCATTGTGAGCATACCTAAGCTTGGCTGACAAGAGGTGAGGGAGCCCTGCGGGGCAGTGTGTACCCAGCACAGCAGTCTCCCTGGGTTGGGGTGCGAATTAATGCTCTTCTCAGCTAGCACAATGTGGTCAGGGTCCCATGTGTAGAATCTCATCACTATATGGATGTGTAAATTTAGGTTTTAGTTTAAATAGGACCATCAGAACATGATTAAGAGAGAGTAGATGGTATCCTCATTTTTCACTACTAATAAAAATTGGAATAGTGATGAGAACAGTAGAAGTTATTATTTTAGAAGTTATTATTTCTATACTATTTCAAGGGCTCTGGGCATGGTTGCTATGTTGTTTCCATACACTATTTTATGGGATCCTCTCTAGAAACCCTTGCAGAGAATACTGTTACTACCCCCATTTTATAGATGGGAGAGCAAGAGAGGTAGCTCTAGCAGAGCCAGTGCCAGAGATGGGCTTGGGAGAACTTTTACCCACCCAGGCTCCATAGTGACTTAGCTATGACAGCATCACTTCAAAAATCCCTCTTTCTTCTGCTGCACACTTCAAACCCAAATTTGGCCAGCTCCAGAATCCAAGCTGTGCCACTGTCCTCTGTTTATCCTTGTTTGCAGCACAACTTGTCCCGAATATTTCCTCCTCATAAGCAGCATCATTGGAAGGGTTCTCTGTCTCCAATGTGCAAACTCCCTGTCTCCTGCTCTGTGACACAGAAGCATGCCCCCATGCAGATGGCCCAGGGCACCGTGGGCTCCAACTCTGACTGGTAACAATCAGGAAACTGTGGCTGGTGATCACCTGGAAGGCCAGTTTGCATGCCCTGCCAAACACCCCCTTTCTGCTACTTTGGGGGTGTCCGCCAGCCATGAGTCTGTGCATCCCCACAGCACAGTCCACCTGAGTCGCATTTCTCGGGAGAAGCCTGGCATGTATATGCTGTTACATCCCAGTGAATAAGTCAGGACTCCATCTCTGGGAATGTCCCTCTCTTCCAAGCCCCCAAATGGCACAGCATGGCACCACCCAAGGAATCATACTTCAGACAGTGCAACCCTAAGTGTGATTCAGAAGGAAAGGATCCTTTTGCATAATTAAGTCTCAGGCCTGATTTGGCCAGAGTCAGGCCTTACTCACCAAGTCCTTTCTCCCAGGCTTGAATTTGGAGGGGGTTTTGGCCTGAGACCTCCTGGCCACCCCTACAACATCTTCCCACTGGGCAGATAAACTCAGGGGGCAGGATGGATCCAAACTCTGAAAGCCATCAGAAATCTTTTTTCTTCTGATGGAGGAATTTCCGGCAGCTATGGTAAGCACTCAATCTTTGCAGTTCCAACCTTGTGTACCTTAATCTCGCACATTTTCCAGAGAAAAGAGATGATGTGGAACAGGGTTGGTAGTGGCTATTTCAGGAGTTGTTTGCCTGCTTTATTGAACTTGTATCCTGCAGTCCCACCAGAGATTAATGGGCTTGAGAAATCATCCTGATGCCTTAAGCCTCTGTGAGCCCCAACGCTTGTTCACCCAGTGGGCTGGCTCTTGTCACACCACCTGGCTGTTGTTTGAAAGCAGGAAGTCTTTTCACCATCAGAAGACAGAAGAGGTTCCCTGTAGCTTTTAGAGTTTGGGTACATATTTCCCCTTCAGTCCGTTTTAACTTCTTAAGTTCTCTGTGCACCTTGGAACTAAGTGTGCTGTCACCAGCGTTGAAGCTAGGCAGGCAGTCATCCACTGGAACCCTGTGGCTTCCAATCACCTTTGTCCGTGTGCGCCAGTTCACCCCATGCCCCGTGCCCACAAGAGCAGCTGAGTCACTATCTCTGACATTTCTGGGCTCCACACAGCTCACAGCTCACAGCTCAGTGCTGCAATATCAGGCAAAGCTGAGTCTCCGGGGCCTGTGTGTCCTGACAGATGGCAGAGGTTTTTTGTTTTTTAATTTTTATTTGTATTAGTCCATATTTGCAGTACATAATGTTCGCATTCCTCGAGGGTGGCAGGTACATGTGTAAAACATGTCTTAATTCTTTGTCTATCCTTCCCCTCCAGCTCTGGTCCCCTTCCCACTTGCAAAAGGTCTGTCTCCCTATTTCCTATTATCTACCTTATTTTGCTCTTTATTTCTACTTTGGGTTTCTCATATAAGAGAAAGTATGTGATAGTTAAGCTCGTGTGTCTGATTTATTTCACTTAGCATTGTGTTCTTCAGATCCATCCATCTTCCTACAAATGACTCTTCTTTATGGCACAGTAGTATTCCTTTGTGGATATATACCCCATTTTCATTGTCCACTCATCTGTTGTTGCCCACAGGCCGCTTCCAACATTTAGTGATTATGAGTTGTACTGCTGTAAACATGGATGTGTATAGGTTTTCACATCCCTGGACAGCACCAGCATTTACTCAAGAATGGTTCTAGGGCTCAAGAATGGACAGGCCTCTGTTTTCATGGGGCTTATGTGCTGGCAGAGTTCCGATGGGTGCCCAGTAAGTACCAATAAATCAAGAAGGTAATTTCTGATGGAAGTGGCCCAAAGATAGAAAAATGGATTACAGTGGAGCCTACTGGGATGCGGGGGCAGCATGGGGCTACCAGAAGGCGGAAGCCTGTTGGAGGAGCAAACCTGGAGGCTGAGCCTGACAGGGACAAAGGAGAAGCCAGGTGAAGACCTTGATGCCCCGGGCTCTGTGAACTGCAGTGAAAAGGCCCTGAGGTGGGAATAAAGGATTTGGTTGGGGAAAGAGGCCAGGCCTGCTGAGACACAGAGCCCAGGGGAGAGGCGTGGCCAGGCAGAGCTGGTGTGGACCATGACGGGTTTGGCTGAAAGTAGGACAGTGCTCTTACCACTTTCAGGACTTGGGGCCACTGTCACTCATGAGAAGTCACAGAGTAGGATGGAGTCAGAAATCCAAGTCTTAACCTAGATCTCTCAAAGTGTTGAATGGCTCTAATCCAGACTAAAGGCCCATGGCAAACATCTGCCACATCCCCAGGTGTGAGGCTACCCTGGGCCAGAGCCATGGATGCTCTGAGTGTTGGTTCCAAATGCCCATTGCAGGACCCCAGGGGTTCTTGCAGCACCCACTGCCTCCCTGGACTCTCACTGCCTCCTGTCCTCACTGCAGATGCTCCCTTGCCCCAGCCGTCATCTCAGTCCTGAAAGTCCATGTAGTCCGTGGACCATAACCACACTCTCCTCACTGCTGTACTCCAAATCGCATCCTTTCCCCTTTGTGTTCTCAGCATTCCCCTCTTGCACTGACTATTTTAACTTACTGGTCCTGAGCGCGAGTGTTTGCCACCATCTCCTTCCCTCCCCACTCTACACGGCAACATGGTCTGACCACAGCTATGCTGCCTTGGGACTCAGCAGCTAAACTGAGAAGTCAAGTTCCAGTGCTGAAACACTGGAATTGATTGGACTGTCTGGTGGTTTATCATGAACACAGACTGGAACACTTGAAATCAGGGCTGTCCAGAGAGTGTCCACTTTGTTCTTCTGTCTCTTACAATTAAGTCACCATCTTAACAGGTGTTTCTTTAGAGCTTTCTGTTTACACTGAGTGCCCATCTCTTCCCTGCCTCTGTCCATGGTACCAGTGGAAAGTCTGTAGCTTGGGCCAGACTGGAGCTGGCTTCAGTCTCAATGCAAGGAGCAGACTTTATGGAGGGGGATGTGCTACACAGAAAGCATTGCATACATCTCCTTGCTCATTCCTTATAATCACACTGCAATTTGGAAAACAGGGACATTAGGTCAGTGTGTTGGCCAGTCTCCAAGATGGTGCCCCACAGACCAGACTCCAGCCTCCATTTGGGGAGGGACTTTTTGTCCCCCCACCCCTGAACTAGACAGGGCCAACCCATGTGTCCAGCAACTTGCTCTAGAGGTGGTAGCATGTGGCTTCTGAGGCTGACCATACAAGGGATGTGGCGTCCATCTTCCTCTCTTTGTTGGGCCTCTCTTGCTCTGGGGGAAGTAGCAGCCACATTTGGAGGACAGCCAAGCAGGCCTGTGGAGAGACCTGCAAGAGGAGATAGGGCCTCCTGGCTGCATGAATGACCCAAAACAGAAGTAGATCTTCCAGCTAAGTCATCTTGTCTGTGGCTCTAACCAAGATCTTTACTGCAATTTGTGAGAAAATTGACCCAGAATGACCCCGCCAAGTCACTTCCAAATTCCAATCCTCATTTGCAAGATAGCAAATGTTTATTGTTTGAATTTGCTAAGTTTAGGGACAACTCATTACACAACAATAGATACAGTGTAAGTTTTTCCCATTTGACAAATGAGAAAGCACACTCCAGATAGCAGATATTTGCTAATAAATGAAAGGGCAGGGAATCAAACACACATCTGTCTCCTACAAAAGTGTGTGTTCTCACCTTCCTGCATTGCTACCTGCAGCACTTGACTTTTAACAAGCAAATAATCTCAGGAAAAAGTAATAGTCCACGCTGACTTTGTCTTAACCATTGACTGGTCTGGATGCTGGATGCCCCCTAAGTGGACTGGAATGATCAAAGACCAAGCAGAGATGTGATTGGCACCATTTGTATAAAACATTTGATTGATCTGATTTCATTATAGCTCTGTACTCACCTAAAGCTGTCTGAAATTTATTTTTTTAATTTTTTTAAAATTAATTTTTTGATACATTTAAAGTATACAATATAATGACATTCATCATTGGAGATTTGCACCTTTACATAATCCATCTTGGTTCTTATGTTTTCCCCCTTCCCCTGTCCTCTCTTCAACCCCTGCACCCCCCCATCTACAAAGACTTTGTTTTCATTTTTTCTTTTTCTCATATTCCATTCCATTCTTTCTTATCCCCTATCCCTTCCACTTCCTCCTCCCACTTGCACCTTTTATTCTTATTTCATATTATCCATTATATCTTTTAGTCAATATTTACACTTTTAGTTTCTCACACGAAAGAAACTTCGGTATTTACATATGTGTGTCCTATTTATTTCCCTTAAGAGTATCACCTCAGTGTGCATCCATTTAGCTATAAATGTCTCTAGTTTCTCATTCTTTATGGTTGAGTAGTACTCCATTTTATTAAAAAACACATTTTCTTTATCCAGCCTCCAGTTGATGGGCAATTGTGTTGCTTCCAAGTTTTAGCTATCACAAATTGTGTTGGTATGAACATGGGTGCACATATATCACTGTGGTATGATTCTTTTAATTCTTTGGGGAAGATCCCCAGCAGGGGAATAGCTGGG